TGTACATAATATTATTCTTGTAATTTTTTTTTTCTATTACTTTTGAAAAAAACGTGTGACGTTTGTATCGGTCGATAATGAAAGTCAATATTATAGTTTTTATTTTCATGTATTTAAATAATTATTTTCTTCCATCCGCAACCCTAGGGTAACCGAAGGTCATTTTTGTAATTATTTTTTCTATTGTTTTTTAAAAATCATATTAGAATAGGTCATATAATAAAGTTTGAATTTTGATCATCCACATTAAATACAATGGTTGAATCATATACTCGGTCCAATATATATACAGAGTTCATATGTTTATAACATTAAAAATTTGAATAATTGCAATATTGGTGTTTATATATGCTTCCATTTGATGCTATTATAAGATCCTGTGTTCTAAATTCAATAATAAAAGGGTGTTTGTACCATGAGATCCTGTATTCTAAATTTATATGAGATACCCCTTCAAATTGTGACACGTGTCCTAGTAAAAAAACCTATTTTTTCCTCATTTATGTATTGTCGCAAATACCCTTTGTACAATAATTATTTTAAAAAAATCGGAAATTATAAATTATTAATGAAATGTCAATTTTACCCTCTCTATTTTAATGCAATTTTAAATCTATATTTATTGCTGAATTAAAATTTATAAAGTCAATTATATCATTATTCATACAAATCATTAAACCACTCATCCAAAATTGCATCAACCTGCTCTATTTTAATGCAATTTTAAATCTATATTTATTGCTGAATTAAAACACAACACATAATTGGCAATAAACTAACAATACGGATATATATCACAAAGCTACAAATTATAATGGTTATAAAACTTATATAAGTAATGTTAAATAAATTATTAATTCTCATATAATTATTATTATATATTAATAATATCCCATACTAACAAATATTTATATAATATATTTTAAAAATCTAAGGAAATGTTGATCAACTCGTGTAATTTAAAAATGAATTTCGAAAGAATTTGAAGTTTGAATTAAATCGTAAATTGTAAGATTTAATTAAATCGTAATATTTGAATCAATTAAACTCATGTGTTTTCAATTCAAAAACAATATTCAAAGATTTGAAGGATTAAGCTCAACTCATTTCAATTCCTAGACAATATTCAAATATTTGAATCGGTTAAAGTCAATAATTTACAATAGCATATTAACTTAACTATGTATAGTTAAAGTTTAGTATCTTTTTTTTATTGAATTTTATCATAAAAAATAATAAAATTTAATTCGTAAAAATCGTAAGATTTAATCGGTTCATGGTTAGATTAAATCTTACGATTTACGATTTGATTCTTACGATTTTACGAATTAAATTATTATTTTTTTGTTAAAATTGAATTAAAAGGATAGTAGACTTTAATTATAAATAGTTAACTCGATTAATACGTTATTGTCAGTGGTTGAACTTAATCGATTCAAAATTTTGAATAATATTTACAAATTAAAAGGATTTGCGCTTAATTGATTCAAATCATACGCTTTAATTAATCATATGATTTGATTCTTACGTAATTTAGGAATTATTTTTTATGATAAAATTGAATTAAAAATGTATTACACTTTAATTAATAATAGTTAATTTGATTAAGACGTTCTTGTCAATAGTTGAGCACGCTAATTAATCGATTCAAATATTTGAATAATGTTTACAAATTGAAATAACTTGAGCTTAATTGGTTCAAATATTACGCTTTGATAAAATATTATAATTTACGATTAGGTTCGTACATGTGTTAGGAATTAAATTTATTATTTTTTATGACAAAATTGAATTACAAAGATATTAGACATTACTTATAAATAGTTAAATCAATTATGTAACACGTTATGTCAATAATTAAGCAACCGATTCAAATATTTGAATAATGTTTACTAATTGAAAGGATTTGAACTTAATCGATTCAAATCTTACTATTTGATTAAATTAAATATTAAAAGAAAAATCACTATATAGTATTTGTAGTATATAATTTTATTTTAAAGTGAGAAAACTACTAATTGGAATGAGTTATAAATTTTTCTTCTTCTAAAACATATTATTTTATTTTTTATTTGGATTTGTCACACTATCGATTTAATAACATAAGTGAGTTTGAATTAAGTTATGCATTTTTTTATATTTAATTGAGCATTCTTTACATTTTTAAATGGTGAAGTTTATTAATAATTCTAATATTATATAATTAATGATAGATGTTTGGCGTATTGAACTGCAATTCTTTATATTTTTTCAAACTTTATTATATTAAATTTGTTAATAATTTATTTAATATCATTTAATAATAATGAATGTTGTAATTAATATTTTAATTAACAGTATTTATACAATTATGGTTATTTTTTTTTTGAGTAAATTTATACAATTATGGTTAAATATATCATAATAAGTTAATGTGTTTGGATGGTTAGTGTGATGAATGTATTAGGATGTCCCAAGTTCTATCCCCAATGAATGCATTTTTTTTTCGATTATTTATCAAATAAAACTCGGTCACAATGAATTTAAATTAATTATTTAATTAAAATATAGTAGGGGGTAAATTAGACAATTCAATGTTAATCAATTTATATTAATTTAATAAAAAAATAATCGGATGATAATTTTTTTCGATTATTTATCAAATAAAACTCGGTCACAATGAATTTAAATTAATTATTTAATTAAAATATAGTAGGGGGTAAATTAGACAATTCAATGTTATATTAATTTAATAAAAAAATAATCGAAGGATAATTTGGTAAGGATAATTTGGTAAAGTATTTCATTTTTTAGAACATAGGCTATGTTATTTTCCTAGGGTTCAGATTTAATCTTAGAAAACTAATGGTGATTAATATATATCTCATATAAATTTAGAACACAGGTGGTCTCACCCTAGAAAGAATATATATATATATATATATATATATATATATATATATATATATATCCTTCTATATAAAGCACCAAAAGAAATAGGAATCTTAATTAAATAATAAAATAGGGATTATTTGAGAAAACCCCCTCGTATGACATTTACAATTAGAGGGGGTCCATTTATTTTTCCACATTTTGAGATAAATCCATTTATTTAAATATTATATTATTAAATCATTATAATCCTATTATACCCTTCTTAACCTAGTCATGTACTCATCTAATTTGAACCGCCGTTAATCTATCGTTCCTCATCTATCTTCATTTCTACTCTCTTCAATTCTATAGCACACAATACTCCCCTCCCCCTAATAATTCGGCCACCCTTTCTCCGCCGACTAAATTGTGACCTTCTCCTCGCTTAAAGCCGCCGCCGACCACAATGTAAGATCCGGTTTCTGTGTTGCCGGCAGATCGATGGTTCGCTCAAAGGTGTACTACGGTTTCCTATGCCCCTCTATTTTCTTTCCATCGCCGATTTTTTGGATTTTTTTCGTGCATAGTACAGTCTAGCCTTTCTCCGTCTACGACTGTAAGGTGAAGCAAAATGCGGAGTCAATGGAAGAGAAGAAGAAGGCGGGGACGATTGTAAAATGAATTCCTGAGGAAGAATTCCGCAAATATTGGTATGTCAAATTACATTTTTTGCCCTAGATGATGTTTTTTATAATTGATGTATTTTGATTTCAAATTTATTTTTTTGGTTTTGTTCATATCAGTTGATTTCGTGACAATATATGTATATATAGTAGTCTGATAACTAATTATAATAAATAGATGATTCATATGATTTGGAAAATTAATACTACTATAAAAGATTTAAGTTCTGCAGGATAGAGAATAGTTAAATGATGGTTACGAATTTAATTTTCAATATTTTACCATCTATAATTATTGTCAAGCTCTGTGATTAATATTTAGTACTTCTCTTGATTTTAAATATGAAACCATGTTTTTGTGAGTAGGGGATAAATTTGATGTCATCCGTCATTATCCGCACTTTGGCGGAGGTGTAGTGCGACGCCAACACGCCACCGTCGTCTTTGGATCTTCTTCGTCGTCCTCACAGAGAAGAGCAATAATCTGCTTGTGGTCAGAGCCACCAACCACCACCTTCATACCTGGCGATTCACATAACGGCGCCAAGGCAATATAGGCACCGCCATGGCGCCACCAAGCGATTCAAATAGTAGATTATGTTTTTTTGTTTGTTATTTTTGAGTTGTGTCAGTAGTGGATTACGTATGTTTTTAGTGGTTTTGGATAAGTTTGTGGTAAATTTCGGTAATATCATTGTGGATATCAATAATTTCGAAGTGGATTTCGGGCAATTTTCGTTGTGGATTTTGATAGTTGTAGTTTGATATGCTTGTTGTGGATTTTCGTAATGGAATACATTAATTACCTAGTGGTTTTCAATAAGTTTACAATAAATTTTCGTAAAGGAATACATTAATTACATAGTGGTTTTTGTTAATTGTACAGTGATTTTCGTTAATTGTATAGTGGTTTTCGTTAATTGCACAGTCACAGTGGTTTTCGTTAGTTGCATAGTTGTTTTTGATGAACTTGTAGTGGATTTCAGACAAAATATACCTGCTGCAGGCGCGAGGAATAGATGAGGGGGTGTCAACGCGCTTACGGTAAATAGTGGTTTTAGTAAATAGTGGTTTTCGACATTAAATAGTGGATTACGTTAAATGGATGGGGTTGACAACGCGTACAGTGAATAGTTGATTTCAAATTTAGACAATGAATAGTGGATAGTGGTTTTAGTAAATAGTGGTTTTCGAATTCTTACGTGACATTAAATAGTGGATTACGGTAGAGGGATGAGGTTGACAACACGTACAGTGAATAGTGGATTTCAAATTAAGGCAGTGCACATTGGATTACGTTAATTTTTTTGTAGATAGTGAGTGTTCATAAATTTTGGTGTGTACCGGAATAGTGGATTTTAAACTTAGACAGTGAATAGTGAATTACGTTAATTTTACAATGGATTACGACAATTTAATAGTGAACTTTACGTTATTTTTTTTTTATAATTTTTTATAATGAATGTCGATAAATTTTAACAAATGTGTAGTGGATTTCATTTTTTGGTAAACCTGCTGGAAAGAAAATGATTTTTTAAAAAACTGAAATTTTCAATAAGTTTACAGTGAATTTTCGTAATAGATAATGTTAATTATTTAGTGGTTTTTCGATAAGCTTATAATGGATTTTCGTAATGAACTACGTTAACACATAGTGGTTTTCGATAAATTTATAATGAATTTTCGTAATGGAATACATTAATTAGTGGTTTTCGTAGATTACATAGTGGTTTTCGATAAAGTTATAGTGAATTCCAATTTGTTAAGAACCTTGTTTTTTAAATCGAAATGTAAAAAGACAATTAAAAAAAACGAAAAAAAATCAATTTTTAATAACGAAAATATTTTTTTTAAGAAAATTAAAATTTTATAATTTTCTTATAAAAAAACTTCAGAATAAAATAAATTACAAAAAAAAATACAATTTAATCAAAATTTTAAAAAACAATTTCTGCAAAAAAAAAAGGTTAAAATTAAAAATAGAATCAAACGTAATTTATTTTATTTGAAACGGTTTGAGATGTTTTGAGAGATTTTGGGGATTAGGCGGATTTTTAGGGGAGTTGTTTTGGGAAATTAAATTAAACATTAAAATTCGAAAATACACTAAAAGGGTAATATAAGTATTTTACTATGGGAGGGGGTTATCCCAAAAATAGGATTATTAATTGGACTTATCCCTCTTAGGAAATTAAATGAAGGGGTTATCTCATATAACCCCTTTAATTATTCAAAGCCAAACTGAAACCAACGACAATTATATAACCGCCCGAATGCAAGAAAGTGAGATGGAGCTTGATCTTATTCTATCACCCCTTCTCCTCCTCACTCTTTTCCTCTCTCTCTCACTAACAATGCTTCATCACCACAACTCAAAACCTAAAAATAAAAACACTCATTCCAGATCAAAATCACTTCCTCCAGGCCGGACAGGGTGGCCCATCTTCGGCGAAACCCTGGAATTCCTGTCGGCGGGCCGACATGGAAACCCCAAGAAGTTTTTCGACGACAGAATGGCGAAACACTCGCCGGACATCGATCTTCAAAACCTCACTGATCGGCGAAAAAACAGCCGTCCTTTGCGGGCCTTCCGGAAACAAGTTTCTATTCTCTAACGAGAACAAGCTCGTCCACACATGGTGGCCAAGAAACATCGAGAGGATATTCCCTACGTCAACGTCAACCAGGGAACAGTTCATCAAGATGAGGAAGCTTCTGCCCGGTTTCATCAAACCCGATTCGTTGCGGAACTACGTCGGGGTTATGGACTCGATCGCCAGGGAACACCTGGAAACTCATTGGGAATGCCCACAAGGCGGCGGCCGGGAAAATATTGTGACCGTTTTGCCCCTGGTGAAAAAGTTCACATTCGCGGTTGCATGCAGGTTGTTCTTGAGCATTGACGATCCCGTGCAGATTGCGAGATTCGATAAGACTTTCCGTCAACTTGTGGCCGGGGTTTTGTCGGTGCCGGTTAATTTTCCGGGGACTTGTTTCAATCGTGCTATTAAAGCTGCTAATTCGATAAGAAGGGAGATTTTCGAAATAATCAGGCGACGAAAATCGGTGCCGGAGGTCGTTGCTGATCGTCGCGATATTTTGGCACACATGCTGACGACGTCGGACGAAAACGGGAACTTGATGTCGGAATTGGAGATCGCCGACAAGATTATAGGATTGCTTATCGGCGGCCACGACACGGCAAGTGTCGTCATCACTTTCATCGTCAAATACCTCTCCGAGCTGCCTCATATTTACGATAAAGTCCTTGAAGGTGAGACTTACGGTGATCAGGTAATTGAGATGCTACACTGGGTCATAATATGCACTGGTTAAATAACTGTTCATTAAGCACACATACACATGGGTGTTTGTGATTATGTGCAGATCAACAGTTAATGATCACCCGATATATTTCACCCAGTGTAGCATCAAATAAACTTGAGACTGACAACTAGAGATCATATCCTCTCTCTTTTTTTTTTCTTTTTTTTTTTCCTTCTTTTGTTTGGGTAAAATATTTAATTTTATTATATGAAATATATTGCACGTGTGGATATAAAAAGAGCAAAGAAGAGTAGGAGATGGGAAATCAGGAGAAATGCTGATCACTGATTTTACCTATGCTGGCTTCTACATTCCCAAAGGATGGAAGGTACAACTTCTACTTCAATTGACTTTTATTGACTAACTACTCGTTCGGTTATATATATTGGATTAAATTAAATTAGACGAGATTGAGTTATAATCTAGTAAGACGTTTTATTTCTTAGATTATATCTAGTATTAAATTTTTTAAATTCTTATATTTTATGAGATTTGGCTGTAAAACCTCTGTCACTCAACGAAATTAACACAACATAGTTGAAGGAAAATCGTACTTTTCTCGTTTAAATTTTAATCACTACCCGCCACAAAATTAATTTATGATGGTTGGGAGTGAGAATGCTACTAAATACTAATTTAATGAAATAATAGCATTTAATTGTGATTTGAGCTCTAATTTTGTTTTGATTTATTTATTTATTATTTAATTTGCATGCAGTTGTATTGGAATCACTAGGCCAAAACGCAAGACTGGCGACGAAAATTCGCGACGAATTTTGTCTCGTAGCGACGTTTTAACACGAGGAATACAACACACAAACATGAGGAATACTTTCCGGAACCAGCGAAGTTCGATCCGACGAGGTTTGATGATGAGAATGGCAGCTCAATTACTTCGTACACTTACGTCCCATTCGGGGGAGGGCCGAGAATGTGCCCTGGAAAGGAATATGCTAAACTGGAGATACTTGTTTTCGTATTTAATTTGGTGAAAAAGTTCAAATGGTAGAAAGTTATTCCACATGAAAAGATAGTCGTCGATCCAATGCCCACGCCTGCAAACGGACTTCCCGTTCGCCTCCATCGTCATATCTGATAATATTCCGTATATCTATAATATACATACATCTTGTTTCAAGATGTGCTAAATAAATGCTACTGCTTGTAATCTATATATGCAATAATCAACCGAGTGGTTTAATCATTCGAACTTCAAATCCGCAATAACAATGATCTGAGAAGGAAAAAAAAAACGGGTATATTAATCGAAATCCTAAAATCACTGATTGAAAGAGCCGTACATAATCGACGGCTTCGGCGCCACCATCTTGTTACTAGTAGTGATCTCGTCATTATTACCATCCCTTTTGGGATTATTACTCGGTTGAGATTCGGAACCGTTATTCGATTGCATCATCTAGAAATTAATCATAGTTTTGGGATCGGTTTAGCAAGGTTGCGCCAAACACCCTATACTGGGCTTATAAAACAATATAAAGAGAAGATTAATAGTTGCATCTCACAATAATTCATCACAAAGGTACAAGATTCTGAGAAACCAAATCGAAACAAAAACAGCTCAAATTATCAGAGCCGTTGAAATGAATAAAAAAATTGAAAAAATATTGGATTTGGAAATTAATATGGCTTAGTTTTCGTGAGGGATGAGGCGAATAGGAAGACCCTTAGCGGGAATCGGCATTGGATCGACGACAAATTTACCATCATTAGGAATCATCTTCTCAAACTTGAACCTCTTGACAAGGTGGTGCATGAAGACGAGGATCTCGAATCTAGCGTACTCTAGTCCGGGGCACATTCTCGGGCCCCCGCCGAAAGGAACAAAGGTGTAGGGTGCGGGCCCTGCTCCCTGAAACCTCGATGGATCGAACTTCTCCGGTTCAGGAAAGATTTCCGGGTTTTTGTGTGTTGCGGTGGCGCTCCAGTATAGCTTGAAACCCTTTGGAATAGAGTAACCCTTGTATGAAAAATCAGCAATGGCTTCTCGAAAAGTTCCAGGGACAGGTGTCGCAAGTCTCATGACTTCACAAGCAACGTTCCACGAGTATTTCATCTTCTGTAGGTCTTCCCAGTTGAGCGAATCGCCTGGAGCTTTTGATTTCAAAATCTCCATTTGTTCGTTGTAAACTCCGTCGTTGTAGTATAGTGGTAAGTATTCCCGCCTGTCACGCGGGTGACCCGGGTTCGATCCCCGGCAACGGCGCCAAAAACTTGTTGGGTGCTAAATACCTAACACGCAAGTGCACGTATCGCAAACAAGTAGTAAAAGTGGACTCGTGAGAGTCGGATGTCGATCCCACAGGGAATACTCAAATTACCTAATCCTAAGTACCAAATTCTAACAACTATGATTTTTATCCAGCCTACGCAAGGTTGTCAAATTTAATCAACTAAATATATTAAACTAATTAGGAAAGCAAATAAACAAGTGATAATATCAATATAAAAACGGATCTAGGATTTTGTCTTCCCCCTATGCAAGAATTGCTCACCCAAAACCCCTCAATTATGAAATATATGATTCATGATTATTAACCCGAGACACTAATTTACTCATAACCCGCTGTCGCGTGTATTATGAGTCTATTATTCATAAACGGTTCACTATATGTCTATGCAAACAAATTATGAATAAAGCATTAACTAACAAGTCTCGTAAATGGCTACCTAAGGTGATATCTGTATGTCTACGACACCACATGCAATTGACACACTCATCCGGTGAAAACTACTCGAAGGTTCCTATACTTACCGTCTAATTATCAAAATAGCTCTGTCGAGTCAATCCCAATAATCACAGATAAAGCACATAAATTGATCAAGTTCATGCACTAACAATCATAACAAGTATAAGAAATAATCATAAAATCATAATTGCATAATCTCAAGAAAACGGGTTCACCATCCCCACATAGGGTTCCAACAAAATCCTAGATTAAAAACTTAGCTACTCGTAATTCTTATGATAAGCAAAATAGAATAAATAAAATAAATAAGAAAAACTATGCTTGAGTCTTCGTTGATCTTCGTTCTTCGTGTTTTGTGGTGTAAAATTTCGTGCTTATGGTGTAGAGACATGTTGCTTTTATAGGCTTTTCTTGATAAGGAAGTAGTAGAAACCTAATAGGAATCAATTTCCGCCACTTTCCCCCATCATGACTTGTTCTTCGATTTTCGCCATGTTGGAGTCCGAATTTTGGAATATTTTGTAAATAAGAATTGTAGCCCTTGAAATTATCTTTCCAATGCCGCCAAAATCACCTAATTCGGAGTTCGTATGAGAGAGATATGCTCGAAATCGTGGACACTGTCAAAGCTGTGGCGAGATTCCTTCTTCCAATTTGATTTGTTTCCTTATTTGCAACTTTTTCCTTTCTTTTTTATCTTTTTTTCCTTCATTGACACCTATATCTCGTTTTTCACCTATAAAATACAAAATCAATCAATTAAAGCACAAATATAATTAAATCTAAACAAAAGATCCACGTAAAGTAAACGTATTGAGTGTAAAATCTACACTCAACACTCGGCTAGATACTTGACGATAAAAGTGCAAGCAACGCTGGCACTATCACGGCCTCCAATCAACAAGCCCAAGATCTTATCCGCAATATCAAACTCTTGCATGAATTTGCCGTTTTCATCGCTGGTGAGAAGCATGTGGGATAGAATATCTTGGGTGGGCGAAGCTTTCCCTTCGGCCAAGTCGATTTTGCGTTGTTTGATGATGGAGAGAAGCTCTTGTCTGACAATCTTGGAGGCCTTAATACCCTTATTGAAGGGTGTCCCGGGCAAGTCAATGGGGATGGCAAACAAACTCGACGCCAAAAGATTGAAAGGCTTCGATAATCTATCGACCTGTTGAGGATCTTCGACACTCGCAAAAAGCCTGCATGCTAATTGGAAGGTGTAGTCTTTTGCGAGAGGCAAGACGACGACTTCGCTCTTGTTCTCCCATCCCTCTTCAAAGTGTTTTTGGGCCATACGGTCCATTTTACCGATGTAGCGACGAAGGGCTTCGGTTTTCAAGAAAGTGTGGAGCATTCTCCTCAATTTGATGCCCTCTTCTTCGGAAGAAGATCGAGTCGATGATGGGAAGATTTTGTCGATGCCACTTGGGAACCATGCCCTGACGAGCTTGTTCTCGTTCGAGAACAAGAATTTGTTGCCGCTCGCACCGCTCAATACGGCTGCCTTCTCGCCCACAAGGTGAGTTCTGAAAACACTGGATGAGTACTTAGCCACTCGGTCCAATACGAACTTCTCCGGGTGGCCCTTCCACCCCGCCCACAGGAAATGTAGGCTCTCCCCAACCAGGGGCCACCCCGTGTTTCCCGGCGGCAGGGGACCGGTGGCGGCGGCGGCGGCGGAGGAGAATTTGTTCTTGTTGCCGAAAAAGTGGTGGTGGAGGCCGAAAAGGAATGCGAATAATATCGAAATCGAGAGAGAGATGACATAGACTAACAAAATCATCGTCGTCGATTCCATAATATTTATGTAGATACTTCAATTAGTGTGTTTTACTGTGTGTATGTTTTATCAACTGAATGTTGTGGTTATGTTTGATTGAAATTGGACAGTTACATATATATATAGTACGCAAGAGTCAAACATCAAACATTGAATAATCTATAATGGCTGCCGTCAATAATTAAATAATGATTTAATTATATTATAACTAGTTTTATTTAAAGTTTGTATAAATATGGTCAAAAACAAGGTGCTGCATGTGGGTGGCATGGAACAGTTTGTCGTCTAGTGAAAATGCACAATCAAGGAAGGAGCTGAGAATTAGAAATTCAGAGACGCAAGCTGAGATATTTTTTCATTATTAATTATCTATAATATATAGTTATGCATAATACAACGTGTGTTAATATATAAATGGCTAATTATGCATATATGTTATAGAAAAGTATAAAGAGAATAAATTTAAATTATCATTTTTTTGAATTATTTATGCAATTAGGTAGTCAATTGGTCATACAGTCATGACTCACCACTTCGATGCCATTTTTTGTTTTCTTAACTTTTTTTCGTTTATTTATTTAAAAAAAATCAGGTTTTCTTTTTTCCAGAATTAACTACAAAATTTTCCAAATCAATTATAATATTTCCGAATTCAACTACAATTTTCTTTTAATTTTCTTTATTTCATTTTTTTTATTTTTCCATAATTAACTATAAATTATCGTAAACAACTACAAAATTGTGGTGTTCAACAACAGGTTTACCAAAAAATGAAATGAAATAAAAATTGTCAAAAACAACTATAGGAGAACCCGAAATCAACTATAAAGTTATGAAAGCGACTATATTGTTGTAAGAGACACCCAACACAAATTAAAATAGAAAACAACTATATTGATGTTTTCGGCTACAAAATTATTCAAATCAACTAACCAATCTAGTTTATTGACAAATTAAACTCCCAAACAATACAAATTTGCCCCAATTTAGCACTGAAAAACTCAAAAAGAAAAAAATTAATGAATTTGGATTAAAAAAAATGAAGCAAATCTTGTAGAGAGAAAACGAAAATGAATAAAAGAAAGCAAATTCGATCTTCAACCATACGAAACCCTAAATCGTGAGCACATAAGGGGGGAGATGGCGGCATCAATATTGTGGTGGAAGGAGGAGTGGAAGTCGAGCAGCCACACGACCACAAACGACGACCATCGACCAATAGCAGAGATTCGGCACAAATCGAGAAGAGAGCAGTTTGGAGTTGCTTCTCCAATGGCGTCAATATGTAGAGAGAAAAGAAAGAGCAGTTTGCGGGGATAAGAAAAAAAGGGGAGGAAAAATGTAATCAATTGTGTAATAGCGGTTGGGGTAGATTAGTTATATCATACAGTAATTTATTAAAAAAATATTTAATTAAATAATTAGGGGGTTCCACTAATAAAGTAAAAAGGGGCTAAATCCACCCTTATTATGCCTAATGGGGGTTCTCACTAATAATTCCTTCTTATTTACTATTTTTACTTAAGAAAATAATAGGTTAAGTTTCGAACAGAAGCTCGGAGTAGCAAGGGTTTGTTGCCATGTAATTTTGACCACCACGAGGCCCGCTTCTGGTCTCGCGTTCAACCATCCTTTCTCGCTGTCCTCTTGTCTTCCGCCTTTTCGTTTGCTTACCTAGGTAATCGTGACTTAGGCGCGTGGTCTCCTTGTTTCCAATGCCCATTTATTAATGACCAATTTTCAAATACTTCATCTCCTCCCGTTATACTTTTTTCCTTTCCATCTCCTTCTCTTTTATTCCTGTTTTTCTCTAATTATCCCTACCAGAGTAGTACGATATCACCATGTACCTTTTATCCTCCCTTGTCTCCTCTTTGCTTGTTTTTCAAAACGTTTTCCGGTCATGGTTTTCCAAGGCATTTCCGCCTCTTCTTCTGAGAGAAAAAACTCCCTTCCTCCACCCGTTCCGGTGTCCTAGAGAGGTCATCGTCGGCCTGCTAAAAAATGTGCCCTTGGGCCTTCCTCCTCCCAGTTACACGCCGGTTAGGGAAAGTCTGTGCCCAAGGGGAAGGCTACTCACTCTCTAGTAGATTCTTTTGACATTGACGTCCTCCGCTCCTGCTAGGGTTTGGATCCTTCTATTAGAGTATTCTATTATAAGAACTCTTGTAATATTATGATTCTATTATGATTCGGTTACCTAGATTAGTTAGGATTTAGTTACCTAGTGAAACTCTATCACCTCGTAGTATTTCTCTATATATATTCTATGTAAATCAACCCATAACATAATGGGGAGTTCTATTATATTACGTATTATTATTTATCTCTTTTATCCAATTATATTTCTCCTATATGGTATCAGACACTAGGTTAACCTAGCCGTCACCATCTTTCTCCCCTTCTCGGCCGTCGCCCTTCTCTTCTCCATGGCCGGCGACACTTCTTCTTCCTCCACCGCCCCTCTCAATCCTTTCCACCTCGCTCATGCTATCTCCAATATCAAATCTCTAATCCCCGTTATCCTTGATCTGAAAAATCCCAACTATCAAAAGTGGAGCCATTTTTTTACAATTACTGTCGGTCGTTTCTGCCTCTCCGATCTTCTCCATGGAAAACCCCGACCAGATTCAATCTCCGCCGATGAATGGCAACGCGCCGACTATCTCCTCCAATCTTGGATCTACGGCACCATCTCTGATGATTTGTCCAGCATGGTTCTCTCCGAAACCTCTACCGCCAGTGATCTATGGACGGCTATCTCCTCAGTAAACGGTATTGTGACATCAGCATGCATAAATAGGTGCTCGTAAGTTGACGAGTTCACTGAACTCCCTCACCCTAGAAATCTCTTAGTGGTTCTCAATAATCGAGTAGATATATCTATGGTATAGTTGTACACTATTAGTCCTTAAAACCTAGACATCAGCGTGACTTCACTAGAGGACCAGCTGTATCGTGACATGTCCCTGAGTTCCACCGAGGACTGCCCTAAGGGCCAGTGTTCGTGCAGTCAGAAATCTAGTGGGAGGTCTGTGTATTGTAGTCGGGGAGTCGATCGCTAGAATAGTCTTGGATGTCCTGTGTGTTCCCATAGTTTGTAATCTTTAAGTCTCTGGCCAGAGCTAACTAAGTGATGATTAGGGAATTTGATTCTCTAAGTCATGCACGTACCGATTACAACACTTAGAATGATCGCACAGTTATTGAACTACTAAGGAGGTCTCAATGAACCAATGTCTCTAGTTCAATCGGGACATATACTGTACGTTAACTAAATCAAAAGGTTCTTGCATGCACTTTATTTGTATCTAGGGAATCATGACGTGTAGTTGCTAGACGACAATCTTGATTCCTTGAGTGATTAAGTTGAAACGAGCTTCATCTTAATCGTAACTCTAGGGACGAGTTTAAACCACAAAGGGTTGTGGACCCACGGCTAGCTTACACCGGAACCATCGAGGGTCACACTGCTCGTGCACTCGAGATCTTTGAATAAACGGTCAAGAATAAAATGTTTAATCTTTGCATTATTGGAAGTAAATGTAATTGAGTCCAACATTCGTAATTTGGAATTATGAATGAGAATAAGAAAAGGAAAAGAATAGGCGAACATCTTAGTGAACTTTCTAAATTGGGAAGTTTCCAAATTTTGAAGGTTACAATGACGAGGACGTTACTATGATTCCGAAAATATAATCGTTATAATTTTTTGATCATTGAGTTGTGAGAAACGAGCGAGTAAAGACTAACGAACTTAAGCTGTTGGGCCCGGTCCAACTTAAGCCCGTTAGGGCTTTTATACAAGACACTATAAATACGTGATTTATAGGTCTTGCACAACACACAACACACTAGAGAAAACCCTAGCCGCTCTCTCCCACTCTCGGCCGATTCTCCCCCATCCGCCGCCGCCGCCATAGCCGGAATCGGCCTCACGCGCCGATTACTATTAGTAGTACCTTTCCTTTGTCTTTTTCTTTTTTCCGTTTATTCTAACTTTTGCGTGTCTAGTGCCACGTATTTAATAGATCTTCGTATACAAGGTGAAATCCGAGAGGAGGAAGACCAAGGAGTCGAATTGCCGAGAAGTCGTAGCCAAAGCACCGCTACATGCGCCCCCACGCGCCGACTGAAGACCGCGCGTGGATCTCACGCGCCGCCGTCGTTGAGCGCATCCGTCGCCGTTGCACCGCTGGTGCTCCTCCCGACTGCACGGATTGGTTTCCGTGGCAGTTGCCTTCGATCTGAGAGTTTGCCTCACGCTTCAAGAGGTATTTTCCGGATCCGGTTTTATTACGTGTTAATTTAATTATATTAAATTTTATGTTTATATTCGCAGAATGAATTTTCATGAATTTATATATGTATCGTTTGTATGAATTCATGATTTACTGCGAGCATGCTATGTGATTTATTATCGAATTAATTATACGCATGTTGTCTTTAATTTTCGCTGGAAGCGCTAAGGTGTGCAATTAATTGTCTAATACGAATCGAGCATGTGTTTATGTGAATTAAATTTTTTATTTCATGTAAAAAAAAATTCCGCTGCTTACACGTGCATGATTCCCAACAGTTTTCACCGGATTAATGTGTTAATTGCACGTGGTATCGTAGACATATAGAATCACCTTAGGTAGACGTTCACGAGACTTGTTAGTTAATGCTTTATTCATAACTGGTTTGCATAAAAATATAGTGAATTGTTTATGAATAATAGACTTATAATACAAGCGACATCGGGTTATGAGTAATTTAGCGTCTCGGGTTAATAATCAGGAGTTTAATTTGCATAATAGAGGTTTAATTGGGTTAAGATTTATCGCATAAAGGGAAGATAGAATTCTAGGTCTTTTTTAATTGATATTTTCTTGTGTTTAATTGCTTTCTTAGTTAGTCTAATATTAGATCGTAAAATCTTGACAAACTTGTGTAGGCTGGATAAAAATAATAGTTGTTAGAATTCGGTACTTAGGTCTAGATAATTTAAGTGTTCCATGTGGGACATTTACTACTTATTTGTGATACGTGCACTTCCGTGTTAGTATTTATACCAACAAGTTTAGTACTTTAAATAAACCGAAATTTAGAGTGATAAAACACCACTACCGATACATGCATAAACCGAAAGACATACGTCTAATACGGAAGTGCACGTATCCAATTCTATTAAAACACCTACAAGGACTTAACCTTAGAGTGATTTTCGATTTATTTTTTACACTAACAAAACCTAACTTAGACTCTATGAAACGGATAATAAAGAACAAAAAATTCGATTTTTATTTTTTTTTATTTTTTATTTGTTTATAGACTCAAACAATAAAACAGAAGAGAAGAAGAAATGAAACTAGAAGCCTCAATAAAAGAAACAGGAACAAACAACGAAGATACGGACACGACAGACTCAACGATAAAGATAAAGGATAAGAGAAACCTGTTCTCGATATTGGCCCTGGTTACCCACTGATACGAATCCCATACAAATTGTTACGAAACCCAATACCTTGTGCGGAAACAAGATCGAAACATCCAAAAATAAGGAATCAAATGGTGGAACCGCAACCCGTTGCCTATAAAGAGACATGAACCTTGGTACGTGAAGACGCCACAATCAATTGCGAAAGATTAATTGATAAGTCGGGGTAAACACACATAATCCTCCGATATGTTCGAAAAGTTCTTAAAGAACTAGAGAAAATAATCTCAATATATTAATCAAAATTCGTCCATCAGAATAAGTCAAATCAGCAACCTATTTATAAGTGCTAAAAAGACTCATTTTTCGCAAGAAAAATGACTCCTACCTAAACAATAATACGGAAACTAATAAATAAGAAAATGGCAATTTACAAACAAGCCCATCAATGGGTACTTATTCATAATGGGGTCGAGACAAAAAAAATTTTTACAAAAAAATCCACACATTGTCCAGAGGTTTGTAAAAGACTAAAATAACCCCACACATTTTAATATGCTCCAATTTTATCCTTTAATTTAATTAAACCTCAATTTGACCCCAAATTTTAAAATTATTCAATTTTGACCCAAATCACAATTTTGAGTACAATTTTGTCCGTCGGCGCCGTTGACCGCCGGTCTCCAGTGTTGACTTTTTTTTCTTCCTGATTTTTCCGTTGGTCTCCGGCGTTGACTTTTTCGATTTTTTTGTCTTTTTTCTTTAACATCTTTTTACCCCCCACTATTTAAACAACAATATTGTTTTATTAACTATATTACTGCTAAACACAGTAAAATTAACTATACTACATTTTAACACATTAATATTGCTATATTAATCTCTAGCACAGTTATATTAACACAACAAAAGTCATTATTATTGTGCAATAGAGTAATACTAATATGTTGACCGTTCAACAAAGGTAAACATAATAAAAAGCCAAAATAATTAATATTGATGTGGTTGACATTAATATTATTGTAACAACAGTAATATTAATGTCAACCATAGTAATATTATTGTACTTACAGTAATATTACAATAGTAGACAGTAATATTACTACGGTACTCCGTCAACAACTCAAACAAAACAAAAAACCCAAAAAAATAATAATATTGATGTGGTTGACAGTAATATTATTGTGTTTATAGTTATTTTACTGTCAACGACAGTAATATAATTACGTTGACTTGTCAACAAATCAAACAAAATAAAAAAAAATATACAAAAAAATAATAATATTGTTGTTGACTCTAATTGTTTTGCCAACGACAGTACAATTACGTTAATGTGCTGTCAACGACAGTATAATTACGTTAATTTACTGTCAACGACAGTATAATTACGTTAATTTACTGTCAGTGACTGTATAATTACTGTTAATGACAGTACAATTACGATCAACGTTTAGCGGCGGACGTAGAAACACGAAGAAAAAAATTACTAAAAGAAGTAAACATCGGAGACCGGCAACGGAAAAAACATACCAAAAAAAAAAATCAAAAACGTCAACGTCGGAAACTGGCGGAGGAAAAAAGAAAGAAAAAAAAAGTCAAAAGTGAATTTTTGTGGTCAAATAAATTGGGGTTACAATTAAGAATTGAATGTAAAGGTTTGGAGGTAATATTTGTCATATACATTAATTTTTCTTTTATTTATAATACATATTAAAGGGATGGACTTATTGGCGAAAGAGATATAGCCCTTGAACCTAGAATAATAAAGATGGATGGTCAGGACTTATGCACAAAAACCCCATACTAAAATTATAACCATAAAGAACTCTAAAATAATAAAACATAATAAATCCTAAACTAAAAATGTGCATAACTTGAACATCAAGTTGACTTACCGATCACCCTTGTAAACTCGCGTTGATATTTGGTTGTGCACGTGCATGCACTTAAAGCTCATTTAGATAATATTCCACTTTGAATCTCTCTTCGCTCAAAACATAAAAGTTGTAGATCTTTCAGTTAGAGTTACTCAGCAATTGGAATCCCCTTAATTGAACATCAGATGAGAGAGTTATTACTCGAATGGTAAAACTACCAAAGATAGGCGAAAATCTCGGATCCATGAAATTCGACTTCTCCAACGAATTCTTCTCTTTCTTTTCTTCCAGTTCCACACCATGGACCCTGCAACCATCTCACATGCGCTGACTTGCGTCATTTCAAATGCGAATAACTCCATTAAATTCACACGTTTAAGTTTATTCTAATTCTTCATCTTTGAGCTTGTCATGATCATATCATACTCTCTTTAAAAATATTCGCCATCGAATCCGGACAAATCAAAAGGCACATATGGAAACTCTCTTTCATGATCAACGTTAGACATGTAGCTTATATGGTCTAGAATACTCCAAATTATTACAATCAACTTTCACACCGAAGGCAATGGGTACGGGTTTGCCGGGTCTTAGACACATAACCATTACAAAAGCTCAAAGCAGAGGAAATTCTACGAGACAAAGGAGACTACGAGGAATTGACGAGAGAGGGTGATTTTTTATCGCCACTTGAAAAGGAAGATACTCTTGACGGTTTTGAGTATGAGAACAGTCAAGCGAATTTGGAAATTGCTGATCCAATCGCTGAGGAAGAGGTTAATGAGAGTTCAGATCTCGAGTCCAAGAGGGAAGAAAATAGCAAAACCGCCCCACCACTCGAAGAAGAAATTGAAGATTCGGATTCGAGGACGAATCCTTTTGAAGAGGTGGAGAATGATACGATCCAGCCATGCAATGAAGTTAACGCTGAACTAAACGGAGTTCAAACTCCCATTGTGCATTATGATGAGATGGTGGTGTCGAGGATTGACGCGTTGGGGCTTCGAGCTACAAAATACCCACAAGGGTTTACGCTTCAACGGCTGATAGATTGTGTGTTTTGCGATGTGGTGCCAATAAGTTTGCTACCGAAGGGAGAGATCGATTATGAAATCGATTTTGTTTGTACTCCTTCTGATATTTGTCCGGATTCGAGGACGAATCCTTTTAAAGAGGGGGAGAATGATACGATCCGCACAAGGTACAAGACAAAGGATTGGAAGAAGAGAAAGCGAGTGAGATTAATGGAGCCGTTCGTGTTGGGATTGAAGAATAAAAGCTTGAATCAGACCTAAGAAGAGTCCGTGGTTTGGAATTGGAAGAAAAGAAAGAGAAGAAGTCTTGGACAAGTCGAATTCCATGCATCCGAGATTCTCGCCTATTCTGGCAGAGTTTACCATTCGAGTTATAACTCTCGCATCTGAACTCCATTGAAGCTGATTCAAAATGATTCGGAAAGCTAACTGAAAGATCTACAACTTTCATGTTTGGAGTAGAGAGAGATTCGAAGTGGAACAGTGTCGAAATTGAGCTTTAATTACATGCACGTGCACAGCCCAATGTCGCGAGTTAAGAAGGGTGATCGAGAAGCCGACTTGAAGATCAAGTTATCTAATTTATTTATGCATGTTTTTAATTTAGTATTTATTATGTTTTTTATTATTTTAGAGTCTTTTATGGTTAGGATTTGCTTATTTACAAGTTTCCTTATTATAGTATAGGTAGGAGTCCTTTTCCTTGTGAAAAAGGAGTCTTTTTAGACCTTATAAATAGGTTGCCAATTTGGCTTATTTTATAGGATGAATTTTAATGAATATTTGAGTATTTTGAGAGTTAATTCTCCTTCGCTGTTCTACAGCATTCTTCGGGAATTTACAAGTGGATTCTTGTAATTTTCTTAGCGCCATAATATTGGTTTCTGGTTCTTTATAACCACGGGGTCAATATTCCACCTTGATAATAATGGTTTCTAGCTCTTTATAGCTATGGGGTCATTATTCCGTGCTTCCGCCAAACTTGAATCTTTGTTTTTGGGTGTTTCGATCTTGCTTCCGCGTAGGGTATTGGGTCTCGTAACGAGTTCTACGGGGTTCGTATCAGTTGGTAACCAGAGCCAACATCCAAAATAGGTTTCACCTATCTTTATTTTTTTGTTGTGTCTTCTAGTATATCTCATATTTTCTTGAGTTGTGTTATTAAGAGTCTTTGTTAAAAAAAAAAGAATAAAAAAAATCGAATTTTTATTTTTTTTTTAGATTTCTTTTTAGCCAAGTTAGGGTTTGTTCGTGTCAAAAAAAAAAAGTCGAATTTTGTTCTTGTTTAGAGTTCTTTACAGCCCAAGTTAGGGTTTATTAGTGTCAAAAAAAAATTGTTTTGATCATGTCCGAGAAGGCCGGTTATAAAGAAGAAAGAATTGAGCAGCGTAGGATGTCGTCAATGGCAAAACGATTCCAGGAACTCCAAGATCGGATGGAAGGAATTGTTACCCAACTAAAGGAACTAAACAAAGATCAACATGTTCGAGGGCCATACCTACGACGTGATGTTCACCAACCGGTTCTACCTCATCGTGATAACGAGGTTTATGGTGATGTAAGATATGGTGTGACTGCAGCAACACCTCATCGTGATAAGGATGTTTATGGTGATGTAAGATATGGTGTGACTGCAGCAACACCAAGAGATGTTTATTTGCGGCGAGGGGCTCAGTTCGATCGACCAAGACGAGGTTATTCCGATTATTACGAGCGAGAGTTAGATGATTATCCTAGATCAAGTAAGTACTCAGTTCATTCATCCTATGCTACTGAGTTAAAAGAAAGGAGATGGTCGAGTCGAAAATCACGGTGGAACTCTTCATCAAACCGACATAGGGAATCAATACCGAGAGAGGCCACGTTCGATCCTCCATATGAGACTAAAGAAAGAGGTTATTATTCTTCTCAATCTCGTTTCATTCATGATACTAAATGTTTTTGGTGTTTGGGTTTTGGTCATGTCGCTTCAGATTGTTTGGATAAGCCATTCATGAAATTGCGGTCGAACTACGAGGAATTGAAGAGAAAGGGTGATTCTTTATCGTCACTTGGAAAGGAAGATACTCGTCAAGCTTTTGAGAATCAGAACATTGTAGTCGATTTAGCAAGTGATAAACCGCTGATTGAGGAAAAGTTAAGTGAGAATGTTGAGGTCGAGTCCAAGGGAGAAGAAAATTGCAAATCCGCGCCACCGCTTAAAGAAGAAATTGAAGGTTCGGATTCGAGGACGAATCCTTTTGAAGAGGTGGAGAATGATATGAGCCAGCCATGCATCGAAGTTAATGCCGAGCTAAGCAAAGTATAAAATCTCAGTGTGAATATTGATGAGATGGCGGTGCCTAGAGAGATGCTTCAATCATTCTCTATACAGAGGTTGAACGCATTGGAACTTCAAGCTACAAAATACTCGCGTTCATATCCACTTCAATGGATGCTAGATAGTGTGTTTGGCGATGTGGTGCAGAGATGTTTAAGTTCGCTACCAAATAGAGAGATCGATCTTGTTTATACTCCTTGTGATATTTGTCCGGATTCAAGGACGAATCCTTTTAAAGAGGGGGAGAATGATACGATCCGCACAAGCTCCAAGACAAAGAATTGGAAGAAGAGAAAGCGAGTGATATTAATGGAGCCGTTCGTGTTGGGATTGAAGAATAAAGGCTTCAATCAGGCCTTTGAGGAGTCCGTGGTTTGGAATTGGAAGAAAAGAAAGAGAAGAAGTCGTTGGACAAGTCGAATTCCATGCATCCGAGATTCTCGCCTATTCTGGCAGAGTTTACCATTCGATCTATAACTCTCGCATCCGAAGTCCATTTAATCTGATTCAAAATGATTCGGCAAGCTAACTGATAGATCTACAATTTTCATGTTTTGAGCGAAGAGATAGTCGAAGTGGAACAGTGTCGAAATTGAGCTTTAATTGCATGCACGTGCACAGCCCAATGTCGCGAGTTAAGAAGGGTGATCGAGAAGCCGACTTGAAGATCAAGTTATATAATTTATTTATGCACGTTTTTAATTTAGTATTTATTATATTTTTATTATTTTAGAGTCTTTTATGGTTAGGATTTTCTTATTTACAAGTTTCCTTATTATAGTATAGGTAGGAGTCATTTTCCTTGTGAAAAAAGAGTCTTTTTAGACCTTATAAATAGGTTGCCAATTTGGCTTATTTTAGAGGACGAATTTTAATGAATATTTGAGTATTTTGAGAGTTATTTCCCCTTCGCTGTTCTACAGCATTCTTCGGGAATTTACAAGTGGATTCTTGTAATTTTCTTAGCGCCATAATATTGGTTTCTGGTTCTTTATAACCACGGGGTCAATATTCCACCTTGATAATAATGGTTTCTAGCTCTTTATAGCTATGGGGTCATTATTCCGTGCTTCCGCCAAACTTGAATCTTTGTTCTTGGGTGTTTCGATCTTGCTTCCGCGTAGGGTATTGGGTCTCGTAACGAGTTCTACGGGGTTCGTATCACTTAGCTAGTACAACCAACTATATCAACAATCGAACAGGAAGATTCACCTTTATGGCACTAAATATGAACAAGATCATCTTCATGTATTGCATCACCATCTTCATAAACATCCCCAATTGTAATTTGCACCTCGCTTAGCCCGGCAGTAACTCCGATGAATAGTTGGATCATATCACCTAGATAATGTGTTATTATTTAAGTTAATTAGAATTAGTCAAATTATATGTTAGTGGGTAGTTTTTATTAGTTGGCGTGAATTACATTAGTGGAGTAGTGTAGTTAAGGGGTTAGTGGGATGGTAGATTAATTATCATTTATGAGTATTATAAATAGGATAATTAGAATGTTACGTAATATGAAGTTTAAGAATAAATTAATCTCCCTTTTGTCTTCTCTTAATTCTCCTCTTTATTCTTTCATAATTCATAGCTCTCAAAATATTCTTTTTAATTCTTGAAACTATGTTTCTTTGTTCAAATTACCACATAACAATGGTATTAGAGCCGTTACGTTCCATGGAGGCACGTAACCAATCAGATGCTGAGTTTCTTGTTGAGGGTATTGAAACCCTAGCTCGACACGAATCAAATTTCGACAAAATACACAACACCCTCCAAGTTGTTCTCACCGAACTTCGAGCTCAAAGAGCCTCTTCCAAACCCGAAAATGATGTCAACCCCTCTGTTGTGGGAGAAACATCACTACCAGTCAAGCAAAAAATAAATATACCTACAACACACTCAACTCCAAACCCTGCCCCAAATACAAACAAACCTCAAACAACAAATCTCAAAAGTCGCCGCGGAAAACGCAACGGAATAGATTTTTCAAGCCAAGCAATATTTTGAATTTCAAAGTATTGTCCAAGATCAGCAGGTGCACCTCGGTTCATTCTGTTTGGAAGGACTCGCTTTGGAACGGAATCGCTGGTTAATTGGGTTCAAGGGCTCGTCAGTAGGGGAAGATTTTACTAATGCGTGTTTTACCATTTTAGCCCTACCGAATTTGACGATCCTTCCGAAGCCCTCACTCGTTTCATAAAACAAACACTCATTGATGCCATTTATCATGAAGAGTTCGAGCAACTCTGTCAAATAATTGATGGACCACCCGACCAACTGAATTCGCAAAATGTTCCCATACACGTATCAAGACTATATCCTTGAGGACAAGAATATTTTGAGCGAGCGGGAACGATATGTGTTATTATTTAAGTTAATTATAGTTAGTCAAATTATATGTTAGTGGGTAGTTTTTATTAGTTGGCATGAACTAAATTAGTGAGGTACTGTAGTTAAGAGGTTAGTGGGATGGTAGTTTAATTATTATTTATGGGTATTATAAATAGGATAATTAGAGTGTTACGTGATATGAAGTTTAAGAATCAGTTAATTCCCCTTTGTCTTCTCTTAATTCTCTTCTTTATTCTTTCATAATTCATAGCTCTCAAAATATTCTTTTTAATTCTTGAAACTATGTTTCTTTGTTCAAATTTCCACGTAACAATGGTATTAGAGCCGTTACGTTCCATGGAGGCACGTAACCAATCAGATGCTGAGTTTCTTGTTGAGGTTATTGAAACCCTAGCTCGACACGAATCAAATTTCGACAAAATACACAACACCCTCCAAGTTGTTCTCACCGAACTTCGAGCTCAAAGAGCCTCTTCCAAACCCGAAAATGATGTCAACCCCTCTGTTGTGGGAGAAACATCACTACCAGTCAAGCAAAAAATAAATATACCTACAACACACTCAACTCCAAACCCTGCCCCAAATACAAACAAACCTCAAACAACAAATCTCAAAAGTCGCCGCGGAAAACGCAACGGAATAGATTTTTCAAGCCAAGCAATATTTTGAATTTCAAAGTATTGTCCAAGATCAGCAGGTGCACCTCGGTTCATTCTGTTTGGAAGGACTCGCTTTGGAACGGAATCGCTGGTTAATTGGGTTCAAGGGCTCGTCAGTAGGGGAAGATTTTACTAAGGCGTGTTTTACCATTTTAGCCCTACCGAATTTGACGATCCTTCCGAAGCCCTCACTCGTTTCATAAAACAAACACTCATTGATGCCATTTATCATGAAGAGTTCGAGCAACTCTGTCAAATAATTGATGGACCACCCGACCAACTGAATTCGCAAAATGTTCCCATACACGTATCAAGACTATATCCTTGAGGACAAGAATATTTTGAGCGAGCGGGAATGATATGTGTTATTATTTAAGTTAATTATAGTTAGTCAAATTATATGTTAGTGGGTAGTTTTTATTAGTTGGCATGAATTAAATTAGTGAGGTACTGTAGTTAAGAGGTTAGTGGGATGGTAGTTTAATTATTATTTATGGGTATTATAAATAGGATAATTAGAGTGTTACGTGATATGAAGTTTAAGAATCAGTTAATTCCCCTTTGTCTTCTCTTAATTACCCTCTTTATTCTTTCCTAATTCATATCTCTCAAAATATTCTTTTTAATTCTTGAAACTATGTTTCTTTGTTCAAATTACCACGTAACACTAGACTTATTAGGTGAGTCTTATTACTGCAAGAATTTGATTTGAAAATTCATGATCGTATGGGTAGCGAGAACCAAGTAGCCAGTCATTTATCTAGGTTAGAGAATAAACTGAAAGATAAAATTTCCATTAGTGAAAACTTTCCGGATGAACAATTACTTGTTGTGAATAATCAAGAATTACCATGGTATGCTGATTGTTTAGTTAGTGATGTACTACCCACCTGAGCTTACTTTTCATCAACAGAAAAAAGTTTTTACATGATGTGAATTACTACTTTTGGGAAGAGCCCTTTTTGTTTAGGCAATGCAATGACTTGGTCATTCAGAGATATGTACCGGAAGATGAGCAAAGGGATATACTTTTTCGTTGCTACGGTTTGAACTATGGGGGACATTACAGAAAGGTAAGCGAACGGTGAGAAAGGTGCTCCAGTCAGGTTTCTTTTGGCCAACTATTTTAAATGATTGTCAGAAATTTGTATTAACTTGCGATAGATGCCAGCGTGTGAGCAATATTTCTCTGCGGCACAAACTGCCATTAAATATAATGATCAAAGTAGAGCCATTTGATGTACGGGGAATTAATTTTATGGGACCTTTTTTCCCGTCTTTCAATAACCTATACATCTTAGTGGCCGTTGATTATGTATCTAAATGGGTTGAAGTGGCCATCTTTCCTACTAATGATTCTGCAGTGGTTTGTGCTTTCTTGAAAAGAAAGATATTTACTCGATTCGGAACACCATGAGCAATTATTAGTGATGGTGGAATACACCTTTGCAACAAGCATTTCGAGGCACTCTTGGCCAAGTATGGTGTAAAGCACAAGGTCACATTGGGGTATCATCCACAGAAGAACGGGCAAGCCGAGGTCACGAATCGTGAAAAGGTTGTTAGTCCCGCGCGGAAGGATTGGTCGTGAAAATTGGATGATGCACTTTGGGCATATCGTACAGCTTACAAGACTCCCCTTCGAATGACACTGTTCCGATTGATCTATGGAAAGGCATCCTACGGGTTGAGTTGGAGTATAATGCGTTTTGGGCCATCAAGAAGCTAAACTTTGATCTCTAAGCATGCAAGGAGAAACGAATTACTCAACTCAACGAGCTCGATGAATTGAGATTGAATGCTTACGAAAGCAATTGTATTTACAAGGAGAAAACCAAGCGGTGGCACGACAATAAGATATTGCATCAGGAATTTCACAATGGACAATTGATGCAACTTTTCAATTCTCGTCCCAAATTATTCCCGAGTAAACTCAAGTCAAGATGGTTAAGACCTTTTACCTTGCTCGAA